CCCGCCCCTGCTCGGTTGGCAGAGCCCCTTTCAAGTACGTCGCCGGTGCGGTATGGTAGCAAAACGGCCCGTCCGACCTTCGTACCAACTAGCTAGAACTGCTCGAGTAGATACACAGAATTTGCACAGCATCCCTAAAACTATGCTTCAGCGTAGGGTGTGTATGAGGACGCTTTGGCCCAAATTACCCGCCGATGCTAGAAATATGCACCGAAAAAGGCACAGGCGCCCCCTGTAGGATCAATGCAATGCTGACACAATGCAACTGAGGTTCCTTGGCGCTCAAAGTTCAGGGTAGAAAGTACACTATTTAGCTGGGAGGATTCGATTCAGCAGTAGCCAATATGCTCAATCCGAGATGTGGGAAGTATCTTGCCAACCCTTTTTCGACGATGGTAAGTGATGACCACGCCTTAGTTGTCACCAGTTAACTCGCGAAAAAATTCATTACAGCCTACTTGCTACAGTACAAGAAAGGAGAATCATCGACCATATAAAATACACATCCGTCCGCTTTCACTTTATTTCCTTTGTCTATGTGCGTAAATGCATGGCTATGCGTGTCTATTTGTGTCTGTGTATGCATGTATGCAGAACAAAGTTCAATCAAAGCAGCGGCAATAACAGCTGCGGGCAGCGCTTGAGCAGAGATAATCTATATATGGCTCTAACTTCCTTTAAAATCGGCTTATCATGATGAAACTTAGCATACGGACTCATAATCACTAACTGCTAAGTATTTTCCTAATTTGAGAATTACGGGAGTTATGAAAAATCACAATTGTAGCGGAGAGAAAGGGAAATTCCAAAATACACATTTTCTGCGTATTTACATAATACATCTTTGAATAAGATTTGGTGTCGTTAGGTCCTATAGTCTCCGAGATATAGGCCATTATACGAATGGAAAATAGTGAAAGCCCCCATAGGGGGGAAGTTGGGAGGAAAATCAAAAAAATAAAACAAACTTGCACAACAGCGTACATACATAACGCATCTTTGTGCAAAGTTTGGTGTCTCTAACTCTTATGGTCTCTGAGATCCACGTGTTCATACGGACAGGCAGACAGACAGGCAGGGCTAGATCGACTCGTCTCGTCATGCTGATCAAGAATATATTTACTTTTAGGGGTCTGCCATGCCTCCTTCTGCGTGTTACATACCATTTGTGTTATTCTATCTGAGACTATACAAACTAAGTTTGTCCTTTTGCAGTTTGAATTTTCCGAAACGTCTTAGTGCTCACTTTTGCTGTGAAACTTGAAACGTGTCCAAATTTCAGCTTCCTAGCTTTTACCGTCAGGACAAACAGTTTTATATTTATAGAGATAATGCCACGACCGAGAAGATCTAATTTTTCCCCATGAAGCAAGGAATGCAATGGCTCTTGTGACGGAAACAATAATGGCAACTATAAGTGCGCGACGCGAAATTGCGGTAGCAGTTTCTTCTTCTTGAATAGCGGCCACGTTGTAAGAAGGATGGCTTACGGCTCATTCAGCGTTCAAAAAAAATAAAATAACTAATTAACTAATTACGTAACTAATTACCCAACTGGTATATCTCCGCACAATTTACAACTTTACTCGATAGTCCGCATGCTTCGATATCTAAACCAACCAAAACTATGCAATGGAACGCGCTTGGTGATAAGAAAACTGATTATTAACGTGGTTCACGGGACGATACTCACACGAAAATGTAAAGATGAGGCATTTTCACGACGTGGCAGTTTAACGCGTCGGAAAATCACCCGCATTATTTATTATTTATTTATTCGAATTTATATAATACACAGAAGGAGGCGTGGCAAACTCCACAAAGTATATATGTTCTTGATCAGCATGACGAGACGAGTCGATATAGCCATGTCCGTCTGTCCGTCTGTATGAGCGCAAGGATCTCAGGAAGTACAAGAGCTAGAATATCCTAACTTGGTATCGACGTTCCTATAAGCTCTAGGCAGATCGAGTTTGTTTATTTTTTCTGATACACCCATTTCATCATGATAGGTCAATTCTGAAGAAAGTAATAGCCATAAATGAAATCGCTGTCCATGCGCTGCCTGCAACTCTTCCGGCAGCGCTGCCCGCAGCTGTTGTTGTTGTTGCTGCTTTGGTTCAACTTTGTGCTGCATACATACACGCATATAAATACGCATAGGCACGTGATGTAAATGTATGCTGTTAAAACTGCACATAAACATGTCTTCTAATTTAATTTAATTCCTTAATTAATTAATTAATTTTTTATAGACTGTACCCAAAGGGTGAAAGGTTCCCCTAAGCCCTAGGCAGGTCAAGTTTATTTTTTTTATTCTGATACACCCCCCACTCCCCCGCAATTCGTGTTTTTTTCCATAACTCCCGTAGTTCTTGGAATTTCGAACTAAGTTTTAGGTAGATACATCTCGTTAGTGATTATGTGTCTGCATGCCAAGTTTCACCATGATAGGTCAATTCTGAAGAAAGTTATAGCCATAAATAAAATCGCTGTCCATGCTCTGCTCGTAGCGCTTGCCGGCAGCGCTGCCGGCAGCTGCTGCTGTTGTTGCTGCTTGGGTTCAACTTTGTGCTGCATACATACACGCATATAAACACGCAGAGACACGATTCTGATGTACTTGGATGCTGTTGAAACTGTACATGAACATGTCTTTAATTTAATTAATATACTTTTTTTAATTATTTAAAAAAAATTTTTTTCATTTTTTCCTTTTTTGTGGGAGGTACAGCGTATTTAAGAGCTGAGCTTGCTCGACTTTAACATTCTTTTCCTGTTTATACTCTGTACATAAAATGTACAAGAGTATATTAGGTTTGCGGGAGCTGAAAATGTAACAGGCAGAAGGAGGCGTGGCAGACCCCACAAAGTATATATATTCTTGATCAGCATGACGAGACGAGTCGATCTAGCCCTGTCTCTCTGTCCGTCTGTCCGTATGAACACCTGGATCTCAGAAACTATAAGAGGTAGAGACACCAAACTTTGCACAAAGATGTGTTATATGTGTACGCTGTGCAAGTTTGTTTTATTTTTTTGATTCCCCCCCCCCCCCACTTCCCCCTATGGGGGTTTTCCCGATTTTCCATTCGTATAATCGCCTATATCTCGGAGACTATAAGACCTACGGACACCAAATGCCTTATATGTAATTCTTGGAATTTCGAACGCAAATGCAATTGCCTTCAGTTAGTTGTTATGTGTCCGTATGGCAAGTTTCACTATGATAGACCGATTTAACAAGAGGTTATAGCCATAAATATATTTGCTGCTGCAGCGCTGCTCAAGCGCTGCCCGCGGCTGTTGTTGATGCTGGTGCTTTGGTTGACTGCGAACATGCTTACACAGACACGAATAGACGCGCATAAACATACATACACTGACATAGACGCAATTGCTTTGTATATGTGCAATTATACACCCTTTACGTGAGTTGGAATACCAAAAGAGGTAAAATCGATCAAATTTTTTTTTTTTAATTTTCTTACTTTTTTTAATTTCTATATTTATTCTAAACATATGTACAGAGTATTTCAAAGTCGGGACACCCGACTTTAGCTTTTTTACTTGTTTTTAATACTTTTTTTTTTTAATTTTCCTGTTTTGTGGAGAGTTCAGGGTATTTTAATGTCGGACGTGCACCCCTGTAGCGTTCTCTTTTGTTTAGTTTCTTTTCGTGTTCTCTTTATAAAGCAGTGCTCTTGAAAATCGTAAATTAAGTCCAGCAAATCTGTGACACCAGAACCTTTAAAATTTCTTCGTGCAGGCGAAGCAAACGATTCGAAATTATTTTTAAGAAAAACACTAAATTTAGTTCATGCTTGATATGAAATTACGATTTTCTGCGCAACTAAAATTTGCGATGAATCACTCTACGTTGCGTTATATTTATGGATTAGCTCAAATAAATATGAACTTAAAACTAACATGCTTCCCGTGCGAAGCCGGGCGGGTCACTAGTAAAAACTAAAACAAGTAGAGAAGCTAAAGTCGGGTGTCCCGACTTTGAAATACTCTGTACATATGTATGAATAATTATACGTGTTTGTGTGTGTCTATGTATGTTTCGTGTGCCTGTACAAAGCAGCAACAACAGGCAGTGCTTGGGCAAGATGATATATATGGCTATAACTTCCTGTTAAATCGGCCTATCATTATGAAACTTTGCATACAGACCCATAATCATCAACTGGAAGTATTTGCCAAATTTGTGTTTCCAAGAATTACGGGAGTTATGGAATATCGCTAATTGGGGGAGGAGGGAGGAAAATTTCAAAATACACATTTTCTGCGTATTTGAATAAGGCATCCGGTATCCCTAGGTCCTCTAGTCTCTGAGATATAGGCGATTATTCGAACGGATTACGGGAGTTATGGAATATCGCTAATTGCGGGGAGGGATGGAAATTTAAAAAAACACATTTTCTGCGTATTTGAATAAGGCATCTGGTGTCCCTAGGTCCTCTAGTCTCTGAGATATAGGCGATTATACGAACGGGAAGTGGGGAGGAAAATCAAAAATTAAAACAATCTCGTATAGCGTACACACAACTCATCTTTCTGAAAAATTTGGTGTCTCTAGCTCTAAGAGTTTTTGAGATGCAGGTGTACATACGGACAGACAGGGCTAGATCGACTCATCTTGTCATGCTGATCAAGAATATATATACTTTGTGGGGTCCACCTTCTGCCTGTTACATTTTTCAGCTGACGCAAACCTAATATATGCTTACACATTTAATTAATTCATTTTATGTTTTTCATTTAATTTTTAAAATAGCACCTTTTTCCCTTTGAAGCTCCAATTTTTCAAAACTTCCTATCGCCCCCCTACTCTATGAAAGGACTTGAGTCCAATATATATACATGTATATGTAATATCACTGTGAAAGGATACCAATAAGCTTTTTAGCATGTTTACAGAAATCGGCAGCATAAGTAACTATAACTTTAAAATTACTCTATTTCATTCATCGAGTCAATAACATTTAATTTACCTCAACCCAAAACGGTTCAACAGTTTTGGGACATCGCTCGTAAATACCGATGCCATGGGAAAAGTCAATAACCTCGTCATCAGTCCCGTGAATAACCAACACTGGAGATTTCACTTTTGCAACCTTATCGATACTTTTAAATAAATGTTAAAAATATTTTGAACAGATATATGCTTAAAAATCTCACCTAGGAAAAGCGTCAAAAAACCAGGTTCGTTTTGTATTTCGGAAAACTACGCGCAGGCCCGACATTAAAGGTGAATGAAGTACAACAGCGCCTACTTCATGTCGTGTTGCCAGGTCTACGGTGGGTACGGTTCCGATGCTTTGGCCATATAATATTATTGTTTCGGGACTTATATTAAGCCTTAGAAAGAAAAACAAATAAAAAAACTTATACTTTTAAACTTACATCTATTGCGCATACCTAGTACGCATAGCCTGCCAAGCGGCTTCAATGTCAGCATATAAATTCTTTTCAGAAGGTTTTCCTCCGCTCATGCCATATCCTGAATAATCATATCCAAAAATATTGCAATTTATTTGTGATCCCAGCGTTAGGTAAAAACTACTCATTTGGCCCAAATCTACCGCGTTGCCGTGCGAAAAGAGCAGTGTGTATTTTGCATTTTTGCTGCATCGTACGTATATACATGTTATCAAATTTCCACGCGATGTTCGAGTAAAGAATGCTTCCACCTTTGACTTTTCACGTTCAGAGTATTGCCATTCGGCTCTGTCAAAGAGCTGCAGATTGTACTTTAGGTTGGAGTCATCAGCTGCTGTCAACTTGTATGTTGGCTCTGGAGGCTGGAACGCCAATTTGGCAGCAATCGGACCCGGGCAGGGTGGGCAGCAAAACATGCAGCACAACTCACTTATACTAAACATGTTTCTTTCCAAATACCTCACAATGGAATGTCAACGCCTTAGTATGTTTAAGCCTAATTTTTTTTGTCAACTCTAGCACAACGATGTACAAGTACTGTTTGTATCTACACAAGTACATATGCAAATAAATCTGAAAGCAATTGCAATTCAACTATGTGAAATAGTGCTAAAAATTTTTTGAAGTATACAACTCGATAAACAAGCGAACAGTTTAAATTAACACATTCATTTAATAAACTAAAACATACATATTATTAACAGAACCACGATTCTGCTATATTTTGCACACTCACACTCTATTAAGCCTGTTAATAAACTATCGACATAATAAAATATCGATACATATATTTTTGACAAAATTACAACTCTGATACTTTCAGTATTTTTTAATGATAATTGAAGAATATATTTTCATATTTACACCCGCTGTTTTTTATTTGGGTTTGCAGAAAAAAACATGCTGAATATTTTTTTCGGACAGCGCAAATAACGTCAGTAGCACCGTTGTATTTACCTAAAATTAAGCCTATTTTTCAAAGTAATAGACGTATAACTTTGCCAGAGATTGCGTTGGTTGCTCTTTCAGCATACGGAAATTCTTTAAACTAAGTTCGAAAAACCAAGAATTACGGAAGTTATAAAAAATCATAATAGCGGGAAAGTGGGGGGTGAATCAGAATAAAATAAACAAACTTGACCCTCCTAGGGCTCAGGAGAACCTGGATACTAAGTTTGGTAATTCTAGCTCTTGTACCTTCTGAGATCCTTGCGCTCGTCCAGGCGGACGGACATGGCTATATCGACTCGACTTGTCACCCTGATCAAGAATATATACACTTTGTGGGGTCTGCCACGCCTCCTTCTGTATGTTATATACATTCGCACAAAACTAGTATAGCCTTTTATCCTTTGGGTACAGGCTATAATAAAATACACATATTAGCATTCCTGTTTCAAATAAGTACCAAAAACAGTGTGTTAATTTGAAAATATTGAGTGTCGCTGCGTGGGCAAGTCCGTTGTTACAAGTTCTGTGGATAATAGGGCTGTCATGTGAATTTCATAGCTTTACTTTAAAATAAATAACAAGAAAGGAATGCTAAAGTCGAGCAGGCTCAACTCTTAAATACCCTGTACCACCCCACAAAAAAATAAATTAATTTAATTAATTAATTTAATTAAATTAATTTAATTAATTAACTAAATTAAATATAAAATATTCCATACATGCATACATACATTTACATCAGAATCGTGTCTATGCGTGTTTGTGTACTTGTACATATGTATGTATGTGTGCATTGGGCATGGTTATATGGCTATAACTTTCTTTCTGATGAACCTATCATAATGAAACTTGGTATACGGATATATAATTACTAACTGGATGTGTACAATTTCAAGAATTACGGGAGTTATAGAAAATCTTGAATAGGGAGGGAGTGGGGGGGGGGGGGGGGCGCATCGGAAAAAATGAAGAAACTCGTCCTTTCTCTGGCTCAGGAGAATCTTTATACCAAGTATAGTTATTCTAGCTCTTATACTTTCTGAGATCCTTGCGTTCATGCAGACGGACGGACGGACAGATGGACATGGCTATATCGACTCGTCTTCTCATCCTGATCAAGAATATATATACTTTGTGGGGTCTGCCACGCCTTCTTCAGCCTGTTACATACATTCGCACAAAACTAGTATACCCTTTCACCCTTTGGGTACAGGGTATAAAAACTTAAATTTTATATTGATGATTTTTGTGAGTAAAGCGAGAGCCGTTTGATTATCTAAATAACTCTTTAATAATATTTTATGTTATGTAGCTAATTTACTAAAATTGCCAGCAAGAAAAGAAAAATAGAAATGAAAATACGAAACTGCCAAGTTTAATTTCGTGGGCTGGCAACCCAATTGAGTCTGTTAGACTTTTTCATAGTCTGTTGACAGTAGGCTTGGAGGGGATGTTGGAATAAAGTAAATCTTTCGAATTTATGTGGCACCGACGATTTTTTTTGAAGATTTCAAAAACTGTAGCCGAAATGTCAGGAGTTTTCTGTGGCACCCCTGATAATGATTGCGGTATTTATCACATGTATATCGAAATTTTCAAATATCGGCGATATAATTTGTATTGATAATGGATTAATATTAACCAATTGATAAGTTTTACAGATACGAAAAATTTTCCGATATATCCTATTAACAATCGATGCGTTCCACATATATGGCATTGAATATCATATTGAATTTCGCACCGGCTCATCATCAGCTGCTAAAAGTAGTTGCTGTTGTTGTATTTGTTTATTGCATATCATAATCAATATTGGAAAACAAAAAAACGTATCTTTGGTCCGACTAATCAATAATAGAAAATGCCCAATATCAATGATGTCCTAGATCCTAGAGATTGTAAAAACAATACTTTCCGACTCTGTTCTTTACTCTCCGGCCACACTCAAGCAAGTGTCCCATCTTTTATTATTAATCGTTTTTCTTAAACGTATCGATACAATGCGTTTCTTAAGACTATCGGTTACATTGTTGTATTTTTGATCATCAGTTACTTTTGAATTTATTTACATTATTTACATTCGGCCAACCTGACTATAGATCGGCCTCGATCTACCAACATAATGAAATTGTTTTAACTAACGCTTGAATCCATGGCTTAATCCTAGCTGCTTCTAGTATACTACAATAAGGAAGTTGAGTTAACTGACAGTCCTCCACATCCATTACCTCATAACGGTCATTACCTAATACTCTGTTAATCCTATAAGGTCCACGGTATTTCGGTGCAAATTTTTTATTTACTCCTGGTGTAGTATCTATATTCCTAATAGCTACATATTCTCCCACTTGATAAGTCCTCGGAGGTTTATGTTTTCGGTCTGAAATTTCCTCATTTCTAGACTGAGAATCCAAAATGTTTTTACCAGCCTCTTTCCGTATTGTTTCTATGTTAACACCCTCTCCACTAAGTTTTTCTTCTAAATATTCCGAGAGTTCATCTATAATTGGTCCTTTCTGAGGAACACCAAAAAGCAAGATACTGGGTGTTTCAAGAGTGCTACTGTGTTTAGAATTATTTATAGCAAACTCAACTTTGTGCAACAACTTGTACCAATCCGCCTGCCCAATTGGTTCTGATAGTTTCCCTAACATGGGAATGAGCACTCTATTCACCCTCTCTACTTGCCCATTTGCCTGCGGGGCTCCAGTGGCAACCTTGATGTGCTATATTTGTCGTTCAACTAAGAAATTTGAAAATTCCAACGAAGTAAAGCATGTACCGCGGTCCGAGATTACCCTTTTTGGCCTACTATAGAATTCGAAATATTTAATAAGAGACTCCTTCACTTCTCTAGTACTTGTAGTCTTCACTGAAAACAGCTTGACGAACTTTGTAAAGGCATCAATAACCACTAAGAGGTGCTTCCTCTTAGACGTTATACTTGGTAGTGGGCCTAGATGATCTATATGAATGGTATGGAACGGTATTGACGGTTTTGGTATGCTATGCAAAGTACGATTGTGTATTGTTTTCGGAACTGAATGTAATATACACGGCAAGCAGTTTCTGATAAAGCTCTCTACCTTACTGCGCATGGATGGAAACCAGTAAGACTTCGTCAAATCATTTACACATTTTTCAGTACCCATATGTCCTAACTTCTCATGAGTTTTCCTAATTAATTGTTCTTCCATACATACAGGAGCATACAACTTAAAGTTCTCATCTTTACTTTTCCTATACACTACGCCATCCAACAATTCAAACCCTTTCACTTCTCTTGTCCCTAGTTTATCACGAATTCTATTTATTTCTTCGTCACGCATCTGTTCTGTTTGTAATATAAAGTCTATCTCTTCAGAAGTAGCTCCTACTACAGCAACGACTGGTAATGAACTTACATGTCTTCTTTCCATAAATTCGAATGTGTCTTCGATTTCAGTATCGCACTCTTGTTGAGTTCTAATTTGATTCCTATTAACCCCTCCCCCAGCTTCTTTAATCTGCTCTATAGGGTCATCTCTATTCTCTCTAAGGTCTTCTTTTCTGTCTCTAGACTCTCTAGGGTTCTCTAATACACTAGTTTTTCTATGGATCTCTATGTTTCTATAATTATTCTCTACGCCATTTTCTTTTCCACAATCACAATTTACATATGGATCCTCTTTTTGGACTTTCTCCTTGTCTTTAATAAAACTTAAAAATTGGCTCTGTCTACTTAAAGCATCTACATGGGCCATACTTGCACCTGGTCTATGGACTACAGTATAATCATAATTTTCTAACTCCAAAGACCAACGTGCTATTCTCGGATTAATTGCCTTTCTGCTTAGGGTTTGTACTAAAGAATTACAATCGGTCACTATTTTTATGGGTCTGTGCTCTAAATAGACCCTAAACCGGCGTAACGCATAAATAATGGCTAAAGTCTCTAATTCAAAGCTATGGTACCGGGACTCGGCAGCTGTGGTTTTTCCGGAATAAAATGCTACTGGATGCATCTTTCCGTCCTCTTGCCTTTGCATTAATATGGCTCCAAATCCATGAGAGCTAGCATCTGTGTGTAACTCAGTTTCCTTTCGAGGGCTATAAATTGCCAACACCGGAGGACTCACAAGGGCTAACTTTAATGTATTAAATGCCTGCAATTGCTCTTCATTTAATGGGAATGGTCCTCCTTGTTTCAATAATTCTGTTAACGGCCTGGCTATTAAAGCGAACGATAATACAAATCTACGAAAATAGGAAAAGAATCCTAAGCAAGAGTGTAAACCATTAAGGTTTGTCGGTATCGGGTATACTTTCAAAGCTGCTATATGTGACTCACTAGGTGTTATACCTTGTTGGCTTATTTTGTATCCTAAGAATTCACATGTAGTTTGCAGAAACATACATTTTTGTATATTAATCTCTAGGCTATTTTCAGAAATGCGTTCTAACAATTTACCTAAAATCTCTAAGTGCTCCTCCATAGTTTTTGTTGCCACTACTATATCGTCCATATATACCACAATACTTTTATTTCTAATAAGGTCTCTAAGTGTATCAAAAATAAATCGTTGAAATATTGCCGGTCCATTCTTTAGACCAAAGGGCATCCTAAGATATTCATATTGACCTTGAGGGGTCACAAATGAAGTATACTGGGTTGAACTTTCCTCCACTCCTATTTGATGG